CATTCATCCATCCATCCATTCATTCATCCATCCATCCATTCATTCATCCATCCATCCATTCATTTAACATTCAATATTTCAATTTGATGTTTTTTTCGTATTTTATTTTATTTTACTGTCTTCCATTCATTCCTTCTCTTTTTCCCAATATTCCATATTATTTTTCCACAATCATTCTGCTGGATCTCATTTATTCTTCCATTTACGTTCATTATAAAGATGCCTTCTCATATCCAATGGCACCCAGCAGACACCATTGTTCTTGTATGCAGCGAGAGAGGAGAGATCCAGGTAAAGTGCATCCCTCTCTTGTTCATGTTATTCTTTACTTAAGTTACATCATTGCGGCCATGTTGATGGTATTTAACTAAAGATTTCTTATTAGAACTTTGTTAATACTGTTGCGCTGTTGAGCATAAGATAAAGGAACTGCACGTGAAAATGAGGATTACGCTGTTGAGCATTAGATAAAGAGATTTCACGTGAAAATGAGGCCTGCATTAAACCATTAAGCTATATAAGAAATGTAAATTGAAAATAAAGTGAGAAATTAATGCTTGTACGACTGATGGTTTTGGGCCTGACGTAACAGTACAACCAACATGGCTGCTATGTCTTTGTCTCTTGACTGTCTTAGGAATGGCTGCAACAATAATTGAAACGTCAGCAAGCACTAGATATAGAAGGAGGGGAACTAAGAAACCTCTCTGCTATATTATTAATCAACTAAAAAATAGAAAAATGAGAGGTTAATCAACAGTGCTTTTAAAATGTGGTTGGCTCTTTTTGCACTGAATTCTACTTGAAATTTAGGCTGCTATTTACGAAGGGAGGAAAACTGCTGAACTAGGAAAAAGAAAAAACCTTGTGACACAGGAAAGGACCAACAAACAACTCTACTGACATCGAGTCCGGTTGCTCCCTGATAACTATTCTGCCTGTTATATTTCTGTAGGTCTTTGACATGGCTTTAGCTCTAGTAACCATTCAACTCGTTGCCGAGAATCCCAAGCCAAGGAAGATATTACCACTCTATCGATACTTCCAGTAAGTAAAGTCAACTTTTCAGTTCGGCCTACTTTAGGTCTCTCCTTTGATTTAAGTGTTTTCTCCAGGTTCTCAAGTTTTCCTCCATTCGTTCGCAAACCTAACACACTAGATTCTGTGCCTGACTTCGGTACCATTTCAAGGACCGCGGAGCACCCTAAAAAGTGGGGGGATTGTTGGGAAATACGAGGGACTAATATAAGAAAAAGAAGTGGTGGGCTAAGATAGAAAATTATGAGAGACTATAGTATGGGAAAAGGTAAAGTGGGAGGGGGTGGGGGGAGGCTATAGATCCCAGCCCGCCTCCTCCCCCGTCTCCGCGGTCCCTGTATTTAACTCCCACACAGTAATACCTCTACATTCAAACTAGATGTGCGTACTCTCTATTAAAATGTTGATTATTACTGAAGAAGGAAAACCGGAGAACCCAGAGAAAAACGCTCGTAACAAGGAAGAAAACAGCACATCAAACAAACTCTATCCATCCTCATGTGGCGTCCACAGGAATCAAACCCGCGACGCGACCTGTTTTACAGCTATGACGCCCTGTTATCCCACGATAGTGGAGTGAGCCCTGGGAGCTCTTTCGCAATTTTTTTATATTTCTTTTTAAATCTTTCTAGGAATCCTGTTAAGCTGGATCTGGTTTCATGGTCATGTGAGGCCCCCATCATGAACATCAGCGAAGGCAGTGTTGGTTGCCATGACAACCTCTTGATAATTTTTGACGGGTTTGTATCTGTCAAATGGGGGCTTTGCTTCGCGTGATGGCAACCATAACAGGAGGCACAACAAACTGGATTATTTTGCATGTAAATCAAACTAGACCAGATTTAATGGACTACTTCGACGATACGGCGGCCATCTTGCCAGGGGGAATCAAAACAAAGATGACAGAAAATGTATAGATTTTGTCTTTCTTTTATGGTTTATGGGTAAAGGCGATCGATGTGCCGTCTTTAGTTGTTGTTTTTTTTGTTTTTGTTTTTTTTCCGTATTTTCTTGTGGTGAGCTTATAATATCAATCGACGTCATTACTGCAACAAAGCTTTATTTGCCCTCTGGACGCCCTCCAAGATGGCCGCCATATCGTTGAAGTAGTCCATCGTTCCTACCTCCTGTCGTGGCTGCCATCACATGATGGTACGAAGCCTGTATTTGGTCACGTGTTTGGTCACGTGTGTTCAGTCATACCACCCTACCCGATTCTCACTGGTCTTGGAATCCATGGCTCGAATGCGAACAACCCGAAAGAAAGAAAGCAAAGCAAATTTTTTACCCAGACCTACCCACCTAGTAAATGATATTATTAACTTGCTTTTTTTCCTTCAATATTTTCAGGGGTCCCGTGTGTATGTTAAGGGTCGAACTGGGTGTTATGAGTCATGGTAAACTAGGTGCTGTCGAACTGGTCTCGGAGTACATCAAACACAGCCAGGGAGACGAGGCAAGTTTTTAGAAAGATTTCTAGTACAACTGTTTAGTAGAACTTTATTAAGGCTCTGTTACACGTTGAAACGTTTAGGTGAAACTTGTGTGGAATAGCGTTGCGAGACAAATTTTCACGGGCAGGTTTCAACTGATCTAAGGCGGACTGATTTCTTTATACTTGCAGGCGGTAAATTTTCTAAACAGCATGAACTGGAACACAGAAGGCAATGCTTGTTTCGCATGTATGACACTGATCATGAACTATCTGTTGAGACTGACTCTCAACTCTGAGCGAGAAGGACTCCTGGAAGAGACGTTAGGAAGCTTCTATGCACCAAGCAGACCCCTTAGTGATGTAACAGTTTTACAGTATAGAGATCCTATTAGCAGATTGTCGCGAAGGTTCTTCCATCATCTTTTGAGGTAGGAGGGATACCACGTGATTTTGTGACCTTGGTCTTTGACAAAGGGTAGCGGGAGAGACATCCATCCACTTTCAGGTTTTCCTTTTTTTTWAAAAAAAATCTTTTATCGATGCACTCTTTCTTATACATCCGTCCGTCCGTGCGTGCTTCCGTCCGTCCGTGCGTCCGTCCATCTACCCATCCATTCATTCGTTCATCCATTCATTTGTTTACAGATACAAGAGGTTCGAGAAGGCGTTTCTTCTAGCCGTAGACATCGGAGCCAAAGATTTGTTCATGGTCAGTTACCATGCATACAAACCTCAAGTCACAGCATTGATCAAAAATTAAAATATTTCAATTTGTATTTGTCTCAGGATATTCATTACCTTGCGACAGATGTTGGGAATTATGCCCTGGCTGATGTAGCTAAGCAAAGATCTATACAGATAGATAATGATTCGCTGAGCGCCTCAGGTAAGCTATCTTTTTCGGTTCTGCCTGATTCCTTCCTCTCCTCTCCCCTCCCCTCCGAATTAACTCTCCAAAATTATCTTGCATGCGAAGCTAACGTGAAAGCTCTAAAGAAATCACACTTTTTTCCATGGAACTGTCTCGTGGCATTTCTTTTTTATTTCCATGTTTGGAATAACTTAAATGAGTATCAGAGATCAGCACCTAATTATAGGCAATTTGTTATTTAGTATGATGATGTAGAAGTAAAGATTATTATTATTAGTAGTAGTATTTCAACTTTACTTATGCTCATGCTTTGTCCTAGATACCACTGAATCATATGAGGACGATGATTCCTACCAAGGCTCGGCTCAAGACGTAGAGGCCCTGGTCTCCAACGACCAAAGGTCATATGACCAGGGACGGGTCAGCCAATCAAGAGGCCAGCCTTTAGGAAGGGTTGATAATGATAGTACGGTCTTGGGTCTAGCCAATCCTAGAAGAGGTGAGTTAACTAGAGCTTTTTTACAGATTATCTTCCAGCTTCGGTACAAATAGCACCATATAAGGCATGATGAGCAAAAGATGCTTGTACCCAAGCTAGACCACAATGCATCAGGTTTGCTATTTCAGAAAAAGAATGGAATCAATCCAAGTGTTTGTCTTCTCGAACGTGGAATCTACAGTACATTTATGTAAATTGGGGTACTAGTCATTTTGACTGTTCTTTAGTCTGCTTGGTATCCAATCTAGACCACAATGCACCAATCTCAAAAACGGTCTTTGAAGTCAAACTCGGTCTATGAAGTCAGCCTATTTTTACTTTCTACGCTCAACTAAAGCACTTGCCTAGTAATAATTATTGGCATAAACTCAATTAAGGCAAAAGCATTTATAGTTTTCATTGAGGCCAATAAGATTTTTTTGGGGGGGGAGGGGCAGTACYAATATTTTAACAGTCCTCGAGTTGTTTCATTTTGACCCGTATTCTTTTGTTTTAGCGGAAACAACACCCCAGGCTTCCTTGAATAGTAGTAATCCACAGGAGTCCCAAGCTTCTGGTGCTGCTTCGGCATCTGCTAGTGGAACTCTGAAAATCGTTCATTTTGGAGTAGTTTGAACGAAATGGAATGGAATGGAAAGGGAATGGAATCATCTTGATGAAGACGTGAATGGAGCAAGGTCTGTTAGTGACGTGCATCCCTTATAAAAAGGGTAAAAGACATGGGCGCCATATTGGTCAACATTGATCAAGACTCAAGCGACTATGACGTCACATGCATCCCAACCATTTTCCACAAACAACGGTCTGCTATTTAAGGCCGCCTTCAAAATGTCTTTCTATTTTTGGAAACTGTGCTGTTTTCCTGTAATTGGCAAGAGATAGATTCCATTATGAGTTTGCTCAAGTAAATGGTTTATCATATTTTTTTAGCCCGAACCACCTGTGACATGACTCCTGTCTTGGAGCTTGGGCTACTTGTGGAATAACTTCCTATATGTGACGTCGCAACCTTGCATAACGGACCTAATGTCAGCGTAATATCATATGCTTCAATACAAAATTTGCCTTTTAGATCTCTCGAAAAGGCGCAAAAGATGTGTAAATATTCTTTAATTAATGTTCATGTAACTTAGGGAAAATAAAGACAAGATGAATGATTCTTCAAAGTCAAGAACTAATTTTGAGTCTCGGCCTCTTTCATTTTTGCGCAGTGGAAATTTGTAATTTCGAAGTCGTTTTAAACTTATTGCCATAAACATTGAGCATGCAATCCCAACATGGAAAGAGCACAAGAACGGGACGGCGAAAGTCAAACCACCAATACATAGCAAACGCTATATGTTGATCAATTCCACCTACTGTCGAGGATAACCAACGTTAGTACTGTAGCTGCGGATCGGGAGGACACTAAAGAAAATCGTTTGCGCATGCGTGCCTTCAGAAATTTAGAAGGGGTAGAGTTTAAGTGAGCAAAAAAATATTTTCTCCGAGTATACAAACTGCTCTTTTGATACGAACAATTTACAGTATACTTTTGTGAGATCAGTATACCGTATTAATAAAGAAAATATGAAATATTTAGCCTTAAGCCTCTAAGTCTTTGCATTTTGTGAAGTCCATTTATCAGGGATGTTTGAAAGGCAAATAGTTACATATGTTTACATTTCGACTAATTTGTATACCGACTAGAGCATGCGCAGACGTTTGTCACTCGTGTTGATCGGRAATGCTGGAATAAGTTCAGTTTGGCCGACTGTGGAAATCAACCCGCACCGTAGATTCCAGGACGAAGAGAGATCGAGGTCCACGGGTATGCCCATCTCGCATTTCATTTTATTTCATTTTCAATTCAAATTAAATGGATTCCAGCTGATCTGAGAAAAAATGTTAGCCAATCAGAATCGAGAAAATTTGCAAAACTGAGCTGTCACTTTTCCTCAGGGATTTCCGGGCCACCGAAAGGATAACAGGACGTTGCTAACACGTGCTTCGCATTATTTGATGATTTTGATATTCTTGTTGCAATGACCGGCAAGTTTCTATTTTTCGGTGGTCAATAGACCTTCGCTCGGGCATGTTTTTCCATTCAGACCACATGTCATTCCCTAGAGTTTTATGTATTTGTTTAACGGTTGCACATGAGAAGACACATGAATATTGATACAACTCAAACAAAGAATCTTATTCTCATATTCTCCGGGAATGACACGTGGTCTAAAATGGCAAAACATTACGCCCGACACATCAGTTTTGCAAAGACGTCATTTATACATCACTATTTCAGATCAGCTATTTGTTTCATTCCCGTCTTGAGCGAATCAATAAAGACGTAAAATTTTTTTCATACAATCTATATAGTACATGTTACGTTGCCCAGTAACTAGAGACGCGGGTTGGAATTCACTTAGAAGAGCAATCGCGACTCGAAAGATTTGGCGGCAGGTTGTCAAGCATCTGGAACATCACCTGTCCGAGATAGAGTCTCGGTCAACAGTCGATAATGACAGATTTTTCGTGTATCTGGGTCGCCCACGGTATAACTAATGCGACACAAATTCAGCTTAAACACAGGGCCTTTTAAATTTGTAGCTCACTGCAAGAGGTACTCCCGGAATAGTTCGCATTCGGACATTGAAAAAAATGTCTTGAACCAGTTGAAAACAGGAAACTTTCCAGTTTTTGTAACTAAACTACTAAATCGAGAATCCACAGTTGTATTGTTGCAAAGTAACAAGGCTGAAAACTGACGTACCGCGCATCATTTATTGCCGAAGAAGCAAAAATTCATCAACGAACGATCATTGACACCCACTTCTGACACCCAACCACTAATTTGTCCTTATAAAAAATTTTAATTAAACTTTAAATTAAACTCTTTAATATTTAAAAACAGATTAAACCATTCACTCTCAACTCTGTTCAAAAAGTGAAATCGTGCCTAAAAGTGTCCCATTCCGTTGCAAGGGGCTGTTCTAAGTCATGTCCATTTTTTTGGATTCAATGACCCTGACTAGCCAAAACATAGCAACGACGTAGTGCCGTAGTACATAATGTAAAATGGTCAAAACTCTTGCCTAAAAGTATATTGTATTTCATTCACTCTCAAGGGACCGACTAAAGTGTCCAATTTTTTATATACTTTAAATTCAAAGGCCCTCTCTAACCAGTGGCAATATAAGAACATAATATAACGACAAGGTCATTCAATCATCTTCTGTACTGTTCGTACGTAAATATCTACAATTACGTAAGCCATCCATCATGTCAGTCAGATCAGGCATCGATAAAGACCTTCGTCTCCGATCCAACTTAGGGGTCGTTGGTTTATCATGAGCTTCTAGGAGTTCTTCCACCGTCTTCTTAGTTTTCGGTTGGACTTGATATAAACGCGAAAACACCTTTGTTTTTTCTTGTTTGTTTTTTGTTGTACTTTGTATATTTGTGTTTCGAGATGGTGGTTTTATTGCTAGTCCTCTATGAGTGATGGTGGGTGAATTTGGTCCACTTGTAGGCGGGCTTGCACCCGTGGTAACCCTTCGCTCGATCGCGATCGGTGGTGAGTGATTCTTGGGAAATTTTGCTGTTAAAACAGGTGAAGCTGTACTACTTCGCCCTAATTTATTCAAACTATACCTTGGCGAGATTCTTTGTTGGCAATCCTTGGCACCAGAGCTTGGTCTGTCTTTATCTGTCTCCCTTAAACTCGAAGTGCTTGAGCTGAGAGAGTTTGTTCGTAGAATATGGAAAGCTCTAGGCGAAGGAGGAGGTGACGAGTGGTGTATCAAAGAAGGTGTTCGCCTGGACTTGGCAGATTGGCTTCTTATCAGTGGAAGAAACTGCTGTTTGGATACTATTTCCTTTTTCTCCAGTGTAAAGTCGTATTTATCAGTCAAATCACTCTCTGTGCATTCGTCAATCGTATCTGTCTCCCCACCGGGTAAACTCATAACCCTTCTAGCCTTCATCTTCGGCGAGGAAGAACCAAACTTGACCTCGTCTTTTTTTATTTGTAGTGACAGCATCTTTAAGTCTCTCTCAAGGTACGTGAGTCGGATTTCTGTTAATGGGATTACTAAACTCATTATCGTTTTCACACCGGTATTTTTTTCTGTTCTAAAGCACAAAAGACATTATCATATATTTTAATCAAACAAACTAGGATGTTAATTTCTAATAAAAGTATCTCACATACAAAACTTTTTAAATAAAACCTTTAAAAAAATGAAAGTTTTTGTAATGAAAGTTTTTGTAATGAAAGTTTTCCCTATTTATTCTTCTAGCAAATTAAATTTTGTTGGCGTATATATCGTTGGCAAAGACGACTCTTTCAGGACTTGATATTTACGTCAAGTGTGCGCAAAAAGTATTAGAAAAACGTCGCTGGCTTTGTGATTTGTTTGCAGATGGATTTAATGGTCCAGTGTGACAACCAAAATATATTATTAATACTGAAGCGGCCATTAAATCCACTCACTGCTGCCATTATTCCAGAAAAAGGATCGTTTATATTTCCGTTAATCCAGAATTTTCTTTTCTTTTCGTTTTTCTAAAAGATTTGATTTTCACCAAATTTGATAAATAGATGACAATCGCTATAAGTTAATATTCAAAAGCCTTGAAGTGTGAGGAAGTATTGGTGCTTCGTCAGATGATTACTGATTATATTAATTCAATGTTTGAAGCCGGCTTTTCAATCTCGCATGAAGCTCGTCATGAAATGAATGCATACATATTTCATCTGTTTTGAATTTTTCGTAGAAAGGTCAGACAGTTAACCACTCAACAACAGAATTGAAAGCAAAATATATCTACATATATTCTCTTGAGATTTAATATAATTTTGAAGTGACAGTTTATTCGCCCATTTCCGTGATTTCATTGACGCATTCAACTTGACGGGCCACAAAATTGAAAAACGCAAATTCAGTAAAATTGAGAAGACAGTTTTATGTTTAAAGAGGAGGATAGTCTATTCTATGAATTCTTATCGGAAAAAAAAAAAAAAAGCTCCTGTTCTGGTATCGTGGCCCGTCAAGTTTCTTAAATTTGGATGCGCACGCAATCTTGAGAAAACGGTCTATAGAACTTTCCCGAATCCACTCAAGTGATCATGAAAAGATGGCTCTATATCGAGGTTGAGCTTCACAAGATACAATAAATGAATGAAAAAATGAAGTCCAACCTCGACTTGGAGACAATGTTTTCGTAGTCACTCCAACAAATTTAGAAAAAGTCTACCTTTTTTAGTTTCAAATTATAAACTAATACTTATCGTGTCAGTACTGTGCTTTTGGCATCAAAACTTAAAACGCTTTATATAGTATTTCAAGTATAGAAGGAAATACAAGTATTTTAAGTGTTTTAATTGGGGATAAGCAATAAAGGTCACTCACTCAGCTTGACTCTAGCTGAAGCTTGGCTTTCAAGTAACTCACGACTAATCTGAGAAAAAAAGTTAGCCAATCAAAATCGAGTACATTTTCAAAAACGAGGTTTCCAGGCCAAAAATGGAAGGAGAAAAAAAGTTGCTAATAAGCGTCTAATAACAGTGACACAATAATTATTGAATTTTATTTTTTCACTTCAATGGCGGGCATGTTTTTTATTTCTTGCTGGTCAATTTTCTCAGGCTTCATGACGTAATTTTTGAAGTGACATCATTTCTACGTCACTATTTCAGAACTGATCATGAGTCACGTAAGTTTCCAACCCTGGGTGCCAGAAGCCCTCCCCAAACCCCTTACTGGCCTCTGGTACCCAGGTTAGTATGGTTCGGTCAATTATGAGCAATAATGGCAAAAATCGCCTAAAACTAGAATTTCGTATGAGTTTTGATCCCAATTTTCGTTTTGGGTTAACACTCAAAACCTTTTTTAAACAGTTAGAAACTGATGTACTATGAAAAAATGCCTATTTGAAGCGATGTTTTCAATTGTACAAAGATTTTTTGTTGCATTTGTGTTAGAATGTTGCTTTGTCAGGCTTTTTTATAGAAAATATATGGGAAATAAGCAAATGAAGGCCTAAACCTCATTTTCGAATAAAATTTTTGCTTTGGATTAACACTTTGATTCCACTTTCGTCGGTCATCTCCACTTCCAAACAAGTTAAAGTTTCTGAATAACAAGATTTTAGCCGTGTACAACAGCTTTTCTTCAAGAAAATAGTTTTTGGGGCTCACTGCTTGAATACTATACAAAAAGAATTCTCTCTTAATATGTATAAATGCCACAAGGGGATACCACCACATTAACATTCTTGTTTACAATTACGATTGTAAGAAGAAGGGAAAGGAAAAACCCCTGGTAACCAAGGTACATCCATTATTTTGAAATTAGTGTTTGTAGTGTTTAAATAAGAAAATACGAGTATGCGGTATCAGATTTACAATGACGAGCCGAAGGCAAGTGATTGTAGATTTAATACAAAATGGCTTCTCATGTTGTAGACTACTTGTGAAACAGAACTTATTTACAGCTACTAGACAAAGTACTTTTGTCAGAACAGTATACATCCACTAGTGGTTATAGCTAATTAGCATTTTCATTATAAAGAATGCATAGGGGTTACAAGACATTCATGTGACCTGATTTCTCAAATTGGCTGGGCTTGAATCCTCATACACCATTCTTGAATTTTATGATTCTATATTTATTGACTTTGAAACAGTGCTTTATATACAAGTACTAATATATAATAAACTTACTAACAGGAAAAGTGTTATTTTTAAAAATAATGTACAAGGTTGGAAACTTAAAATAGAAGTTGTTACAAAATTAAGATACAGATAAAAGCAGAACTACACAGTTTCACCGATTTAACAAAGATTCATACTGAAGTTTTTGATAATAGTGTACAAAGTATAAAGTTGATGATCAACAGTGGTATTTTTTACTTGGTCCAACTGACTTTGGGGATGTCATAATGTTCAGTTAATTCATCCAGGTATTCATTGAATTTCTAGGAATAAGAACAGATGGAGATAATTTGGAGGTCAATAATTAATAATAAAGATCTAAATATGTGTGAATATCTTGTGTTCTGTAGTCACTATAAAAGATGTAGGTCTATAGACCTGTTGCACTAATACCCCATTTCTCAGATGTAGTGACTAAGAGCATAAAAGCTGTTAGACAATATATATTCAGTGGAGGGGGGGGGGGGGTGCACTATAGGTTGGCTATTGACATCTTTGAAAAACAATATTGTCATTGAGCCCCTCTTAAGGGCCATATAAAAATGTTGTTTTTGAGGGTTTTACTCTGAAAACGAATAAAAAAAAGTGTCAATAAAAGCCTAGCAGCCCCTGTCATGGGCAAGGTTCTTATGTCAATAGCCCGTGTATACCTGGTTTCCCCCAGTTTGGGCAAGACATTGATAGGTATATTATGTCATGATGACATAGCCGCCATGTTGGAAGTATTTGACAAAAGAATGAATTTTTTTGTTATACCTTCCAACATAACTAAGGATATTGTTAATTCAATTGCTTGGGAATGATTGCAAACCAAGGAAATGTCCCTTCATTTTGACATATAAATAATGTAAAGCGATATTGATTATTAATTAGCAAAATTTTCTTTTATTTACCTCTACTCTTTGTTTGTGTGTTTTCTCGGCTTTTTTAAGAATTCTTTCGGCTCCCTTCAGGAAAAATAACGAAGAGAAAATTCATTGGTAAGGCACAAGATTACGTATAAGCTACGCAATATTTGAATGCTTCATTATACTAAAACTGAAGTAAGCTTGTCGTCACAAATTATATAATACTAAAAAGTCTCAATATATTTTCTTACCCTCCTCTCCTGTATTTTGTCGAAAGCTTTTTGTGCTTCAGTTCGGGTATCTTTCTCTTCTTCTTCTTCAAATTGTTCTTTTGGTGAGCTTGTAGCTTTTTCCTTGGCCATACTTTTGAGTTTATCTTCGATAGCTTTGTTTTTATTTTTCTTCTTTTTCTTCCTATAAAAGCCATAAATAAGCAAAAGAAACCGTTGAATATATTTTAGAGTATTTATTTTACTTTTAAGACCATTACTTACTTCTTTATTCCTCCGTCTTCGACTCCTTTTAGCTTTAAAGATCCTTTCGTTACTGATTCATAGGCATCCGCCATTTTGTTTTTTCCTTTGACTTTCGTGCAAAGAGCGATGGGAAAACATCACGATAACACAGGAAGCCCAAAAACTGTGTAAAATATCACCGCAACATTATGACCATCACTCACCGTCAAGTTTAGAATGATGGCATTTTTTTCTAAATTAAATGAGACAAAAATATATCCGGAGGGTGATCGGATGTGTAATCGTGGTTTTAACAGTTAAAACTGTTCCTTGATATAAGACAAAACCGCTTTAATTACTCCAAAACAAATTTCGAATTGAACATGTATTACCGCGAAATATTTTTTCACATTGTTGATGAGTAGTTTTACTAAAATCGCTTCCTTTTCAGAGAAAGAGGCTGTCGATTTGTGCATTGCTGATCTTGCTGTTGATATTTCTGAACTTGTCTTTCCAACTGAGTGATCTTGTCTTTTAGAGAAGCGATATCTTTTTCAGACTGTGATTTTGCAGCTTGAAGTTTCTGTAAAAAATACCAACATGTTTTTGAGGATGCAGTCCAGTAAATCCAGGCCATGCAGGCTGATCCTTTAACCCACCTTAACGTCTTTTCACGACATCACTGGCATAAATATTTTTTTTCCTCAAAAGATTTGCAATGCATGCGTTTCAAATCGTTCCAGCCGCTTTCAAAGAGATTGAGAGGTAGCCAAACCCAGTTAGCAATGACACAAAAAGATTGGTGCAAGTCCGCATGCTTACCTTACGGAAGATGTCACTGTTGGAATGTGAGGATGGAGTATTTAAAGATTTGGCAACATTGGACTTTTGCAACTTTAGCAGTTTGGCATCATACTAAAGAAGATGGTCAAAGAAATATCCAGACTCAAAAATACCATAAATATATTTAGAACATTATTCTGTAAGTGAGTTAAATACCGAAAATGGACGCAACATGCATTTCCATAATTATTATAGAAGTGAAAGAAGGCTGTTGGACAATAACGTGACGTCTAGATTTAAAGTTGAGTAAGCCCCAATCGCAAATGCATATAGACTTCTTTAGCTTGAGCATAATGCTTTCCCATTCAGATAAGGCACGCCATTCCATAGACTTCCAATTTATTGTGAATTTCATTTAACGCTAGTGCATAAGAATGGTAAGAAGACACATAAATAACATTACGCCCAAGTTGCATACCTCTAGTCTTAGTTTGACGATTTCTGTGTGTTTGTCCCTCGCCATGTCAGCTAGCTGTTTCTGCAAATGTCTCAACTCGCTATCTTTTTCCTGGAGGCTTTTTTCAAGAAGAGAAATCTCTCGTTTGGCTGTGAAAGAAAAAGTTCGAACTTCAACTTCACTTTTATTTGAAATGATTGACCTTTGCTGAACACATGTGACGTCATGTCTATATCTTAAGATATATACTGGCTGATAATGTCATTTACCTTGCTGCTGAGATTCTTCCTTCAAACGGCATATTTCGTTTTTATGCATCTGATCTGATACCTCGATTTCCTTAATGGCTTCAGTGATTTGGTTTTTGTGCTCCTGAAAAAAATTGAATGAGAATCAAATTAAAGAAATTCAGTCATTTACACTCTTTCAAGTATAATTGCAAATTAGTGAAACACAATCTGTAAGTGATATATATATATATATATATACACCTGTTCAAGAGCATCAGCTGATTTCTTCATTTGTTGTATCTGTTCCTTCAGTCGACCATTTTCGTCTGAAAAAGCCAAAACGTTTCAAACCAAAAACTTTTATCGAATAAAAATAATAAATATCGCCCTTCTAGACTCTTTATTTGTGGATTCTATTCTCCATTAGTTCCGCTATCCTAAATCCAGTCATAGCCGCATGACATGAAAATCCCATACTGGCATAGTTGAAAAATTAACAAACCCCGATTCATTTATTACAGTAATGTGCAAGTTTAACTTTTAGCTGCACGTACATTTTAGTCCCAAATGGTCTTGGTCTCTCCTCGTCTCAACCTTTTTAATATCTCTCACCTTCAAAATCGCATCTTTTTGACAAAGTGGCTTGGAGCTTGTCAGCCATGCTCCTTAAACTACTGCATTCTAAATTTCAACAAAATTAAAAGGATTTAATCTTTATTTTCAAATTGCACCGTCTATTAAGTTGAATGGTATCACTTGCCTTCTAGAGCTACTTTCTCAGCCTCTTGTATCAATTGTATTTGCTTTGCGAGGCTTCTTATTTGGGAGTGTAGTGAGGCATTTTCCTTTGCTAAGTCAGTAGTTGCCTATACAGAATATAAGCTTAATCAATTGTTAAACAACATTTAAAAATGACTTTACTTTGAATGGCGTCTACAGACTGGCACAGACAGACAGGCAAAACCCAAATAGCAACATCGGTTCAAATATTTTGATAATTTAATTAAAAAAAAAACGATGCTAAATACATATGAGCCATAAAAAGAGGTCCTAAAAAACTGATGCTCAAATCGAACCAATAAAGCGAATTTCCTTTACCTTAAACTTTAACAAAATTAACTTTTTGCAAAGTTTTGTTTAACTGCTACATAGGCTTACCTTTTGCCAGTTTGAAAAATCTTCGATAAGTAGATCAAGTTGGACTTGTTTTGCTGTATTCGGAAGCATCCTATCTTTGATCCAGATTTTTATTAATCTCTTAGCTAAAAAGAACCATAAAATCCAGGCAAATTCGTCGTAGGTTTTTGGACAAAAGCTTCGTTTTCAATCAGCTTGTTTTAGGCTGCTTAACCTTGTGAGCATTTTTTCAACAACAAAATCACTTCTTAGCAAATAATTACTTGAGTCGGTTCGGTTAATAGTTATTGCAGCTTTTAACGTACCTGTTTTTCAGTATAGCAATATTAATATCTAAATAAAAACCTCATTAAAATTATAAAAAAGACGAAAGTGAACGAACCACTGAAGGAACCTCTGAAAAAAGAATAACGAAACCGTTTTGGCGGGATTTTTTCCGGCGCGCGTGCGCCTTTTTTCCCCGCCAAAAGGTGCTAGCACAGGTAGCCCAAACACAGTTTACAAACTAGTCAAAAAAGTCCGGCATAACAAATGGAAGAAAGGACAACTACGTTTCACTGAGAAAAAGAGGCCGAAGGTTGAATTAAGTGAAATAGCCGAATGACAATTTTCTTGACGTTTTCGTTCATATCTCAGTGAACAGAAGTTACAGTAATGGACATTTAGAGTTGGGCGGGAATTGAATGTAAAGCCGTAATGAAGGCTTGCTCTGGAGTTCTTACCCCGCGTAACTCACTTTTGGACTGCCATGCCTTAGTCCCCATTTTGTCTGCCTCAGTACGGCCCTTACGTCGCCTTATATATTCCCCTGAGATCGCCTTAGATTATGTCGCCCCATATCGCCCTTTATTCCCCATTTGTTGGAAAATTCCTTAGTATAGTTCGCCCATACGTGCATGATTACCTAGTAGTGCCATTCCCCGCGGCGAGGTAAGACTAAAGTTTCAGACTAATAACATTAGTAGACTCCAATCACATTGTTTTCTTTTCTCTCTATGTGTCTATTGTATGTCGACTAACATTTGTATTTCACGGGGGTGAGTGCTTTAGYCTATCATAAGTTTCTAACAAGGGGACGAACTATTCCAAATCCTGTAATCGGATTGGCTAAGGTAGTCTTCAAATTATACTTCCTTGAAAACATATCACACTTACAGTTTCTTTTTTAATCAGCATTTTTTATTACAATTGAATTCTTATTTCAAATCTAATATTGGTTTAGGGTTCAGTAATACGGAAAACAAAATCGTGTTCTAATTTGATCTTCCTTTATTTTTTTATTATTTTTTTATTTATTTTGGCAATGTTGCAATGGGCCATTTGCAGGAGTGGCAATAGGCCATTTGAAAGAAATAATCACAACACTGTTACTGGATGCGACAAAATTTGCTCGATTATTACTTATTTTATATCAAAAACCTCTATCAAAATAATTTTTTCCCTTATAAGATACTTTGTTCCGATTTCAAGTTACGAAGCATTTTAAATTTTGTTTGCCATCCAGCAGAGCCTTCTTCAATGGACCTTTGGAAGAAGCGATTCTTTATCAAAGTTGGATATATCTGCAAGTGACTGTCTGTTGCAAATACCCTATAGAGGTTTTGCACCATCACGTGATGGCAGTCATGACAGGAGGCAGGAACAATTGATTCTGGTCTAGTCTGATTTATATTAGAAAGGATTTAGTCTCCCAGGGGGAAAGACTCTATTGTTATGCCCCCTGTCATGGCTGCCATAACGTGATGAGGCAAAGCCTCTATACGAGCAGCATTGGCTCTGCAACAACAAATCAAAGGTTGGATAATTTTGATGTCTGCATTACTGAAACTTAACCCAATTTATCAACGTTTTACATGGGAATTTACCATATTTGATTAACTCACAACCTCAATACATCGAATCGACTGACTTGCCCTTACATGCGAAAACGCTGTTATGTTTCTACGTGAACACGAGGCTAGTCAGTCCAGAAACATATTTGGATTCGGTGTATATAGTCCAGTCTATTTAGACATTTCATGGCTAGTGACTGGATAAAATATTGAGATCTTAAATGCAATGCAAGGCCATAGGCCCTATGTTTAATACTTTAACATCTTTTATATTTACCTAATTCTTAATTTAATTAGCATAAACTCTTATCAATCGTCAACTATGCTGAGCCTGCGATTCTTATTGTTCTCTTCGCCGTGGAGCCAGCCTTCCTCTCAATAATCAATTACTTACGAAGCCTGAACCTAACCCCAAAACTGCCTTATGTAAATTTGTTCCATTTTCTTGAAACTTTTAAACCCGGCTAAACTGACCTCATAAACAGTCTAAGGTTGACCATGTAGTATTGTGTGTAGTTTGAGGAACTCCCAAATGTTATGTGGGGCCAATTGATTTACCTATAATCCGTTAGTAAAAATATGACACATCATTCCTTTGGAGAAAATCGACCAGGTATACTCGACCGGATTCCTCGTTTTATATATACAAATTTATATAGAAATCAGTATTATATATTCTATCTGTTCTCTGATTGGTCGAGGAGAACGCATATACATAGAGCCAATTAGATAATATAAGCTTGACACGGTAAATGTATTGCCACTAAAAATTGTTTACAATACACTTATGTCAAGTTCACTCCGAATGTCCCAACAGATGCCGAGACAAGGTTTGTTTCTGTTTCTCAAGCAAAATTAAATTTACATTCTCAGTTTACAAAATGTATAATAATAAGATTATTCAAATCGCAACTTTTTTTGATGATATCGTAAATAGGCACATGCCATTCCCATAAGATATAAATTCTTTACTCGAAGCCATCCATATTAAAATACCTTCTCAAACGTTACTGAGGAAAAGTAATAATACTCAAGGGAATGACAAAAGCAACTATTAATAGGGGTGCTTACCACTTAACCTAATCCTGCAAGTTAAAATATCGTTACTAATGGTAAGAAAAGAGCGGGAAACTTTGACTTCCGACAAATGGTACACGCGTCTACCGAAAGAACCGAAAAGAGCGGGAAAAGTGGATTACCTTAATTTGAAGACCAAGTTTTCAACCTTTTTCGATCGGAATGTTCAGTTTTTTGGTTAAATGCTAAGCACCGTCGCTCGATTGTTTAATATATCTTTGTATGGTATTAGCACGCCAACGCGATGATTAAATTTGAACACATTTCCAGGAAATCCAGAGTATGGTGGGATCCTGAACTATTGCCCATTTGCTCGTTTGGTTGGTTGGCGCAATCCTTCAGACTGCTGAACGAGGAGTTAGCAGAGGATCTTCTTGAGGACTTTCCAGAGCCAAAACTAGCCAACTGCTCGTTACTTGCAGGTGATGCAAGACTTTTGAAGTCCAGTAAGTAGCTCTTGTGGTCCACTTGATACAACTGTAGGCTAATTTTGGTCTAATGGTATAGAGGGGAAATACTCAAAGGTTGATTCTAGAGTTGTCGTATAGTTCTCATACAAATTATTAACAGTTATAAACCTTGTCTGAGATAACTAATGTGACAAAAAGTGGTATAGCTTCGATACAAACTACCAATTTTTGTTTATGCCTTACGAGATGTTGTTTGTACTGAAGCTTGACCACAATGCATGGCGTTGCATTGAAGGGAATGGTTGCAGTGGTAGCGTGATGTAACAGCTGTGACTCCAAAATATAAGTGTGGACTAGTTTATTCTAATGATGCAACTGAAGTCGCAGTATAATGTGGTAGTCACAGATGCTGTTTGCATTTTCCATTTTTTTACTTACCGTCTTTCCAGAGACTTTGTTTTTGCCCAAAACACGAAGATGAAAAGGATTTACCAATTTCCATTCCTTAAAAAAGAGCAGAAACCAACTTATATCTATTGATAGGCCTTTAATAAAAAGAAGTCATATATCGGATGAGGTCTTTCCATACTTTATTACACCTCCGTCGATGAACAACTTCTATTCATCAGTTCACGGGTCACACACAAAGCATTAAATAGAGACTGTAAGGAAGTTTTAAAGGATTATACAAATTTGAACCTCGTAGCATTGGTTAAATGTTTCGTGTTTGACTAGAGCACCGATTTATGGAAAATGGTGAATGTACGCTACTCAAGACCAGGGAGATTATCCCCAACAGATCTAAACATAGGATAATAAAGTAGAGTGAAGGCATTTACTGTCCAAATACTCTAACCGTGGTCACTTGAAGTTGGATAACCAATCAGAGAGCCGATATTGAATAGAAATCTACTTTCTTGGTAAATGCTAAGCACCGTCGACGATTGTTAAATAATCTTTGTATGGTATTAGAGTGCTTACACTATGTCCATGAAATAAAATCTAAATAGTTACTACCTAACAGTTTTTATTTAGTGACTATTAGTCATTATCACTCAACTGGAACAGCTTTAGTGACTATACACAAAGTATTATCTTTCTATTGTCTTGAGTATTTGGCCTCCCTTGTGTATTGTTACTAAAGCTGTTCCAGTTGAGTGATAATCACTAAATAAAAACTGTTAGATAGTAACTATTTAGATTTTATTTCATGGATATAGTGTAAGCAATCTAGCACGCCAACGCGATGATTAAATTTGAACACATTATCCTAAAAATATTAACACAAAAGTAAAGATATATGTAATTTGAATGCCACAACGAAGTCGAAATCTTTATTTTGATCGTTGTAAATAAGGAATTTTTGATCTGTTAACAAAATATCCCAACAATTCAACGTGACCACGGTTAGCGTAGAACGACCGCAACCAGAAAAATGAAAAAAAAAATGTTAGTCAACGTGAAATAGTCAAATAGACACAGAAAACAATATAATTAGGGTGTACTATAGTGTATAAGTCTAAATCCATGGGTTTAAAGTAGTTTTATAAACCCCTAAAATACACTTGAGCTTAAGGATGGACCATTAGATAATTTATGGGGGGGGGGGGGGGTTGCAGGAATTTTAATATTTAATTTTTTGGCTCAACCCTTGCACGTTATTTTTTTGAGTACAGTTAGTTATTTTTCTCCTAGCAGAAGAGTTTGCACGATATTGTTTTTGAGGTTTAAGTGCTTGCTCGATTTTATTTTGAATTTACGCAACTTCCCCCCCCCCCCCCCCATCAACTATCTAATGGTCCGTCTCTTATTTAGTGCTATTACACTCTAATTCTTTTGTTTTATATTGTGTTTATCCGACTATTACAAAGTAATTAGACAAGTACACGATGCTTCATGGGTTAATAAAAACCACTCAGCATAATGACTTCACTCATTGCCATCACTAGTACTTACATATCCAAGCATAATCATAGCACGGTACACTTCTGACATAATGTCATTTGGTTTACTTTGAGATCGAATTCCTATTTTAAAAAAATACAGACGGTCGTCAAAAAAATAATTAATAAAGCACCTTACTTCAATTTCCTTCTTCATTCCAAGTGATCTCAAATGATTGAATATATCTTTTTAGTATAAATACACAGGTGATTATTGAAAATCTCTCGCGCTGATTGGTCGAGAAACTTAGATTATCACACGATAATCACCTCCAGCGATAATCCAAAATGGCGGCCAGCCGCTTTGTTGTTTTAAATGTGTCTTATCTTCTTTTTTTTCTCCTGTGTATTTATACTAAAACAATTATTCACCTCAGGCTCAGTGAATATCGGGAATAATAACCTCAGCTTCGTTTCGGTTATCATTCCCCGATATTCACTTCGCCTTCGGCGAATAATTGTTATATAACATTGTGCTTACATCAATCACATATATTGAGTCCTCAACCCAAGTTTTTGGCCACGACTTGTGGGATTGGGTGGGATGGGGTGGGGTATCGTTTGTAGCAGAAATTGAGATTCAAAGACTTTTTTCAGCTGACTGAAAATCTGATGAAATACTTCTTAGCTTCTTTTTGAGCTGAGGAAGAAACAGTCACTTAAGATCATGAACATGCGAAAAGAATTGCCTACCTAAGTGCCACTTGGGTCTCTTCCCTTGTGCCAGCTTCAGATATGGTTGCTTTTTGGTGGGTGTGGTCGGAAGAGTACCTGCAGAAATGACAATAATAATGATAACACAAATAATAATAATAATATTAAACGTTTGACTTGTAGTACGTCCCAAATTGCCCTACTAAAAACACACCTTCATTGACAAATTCAAGCTTTTTCAATTACTATCAAATCGCCCCAGAACCAGTTTAAAAAATGTATTATTCCATTATCTCCATTAGTAAGAAAACTGTTTGTCATAAAAATAATAAAAAAATTACTAAAAAAACAAACATTTCAAATTTTCCAAAAGATAAAAATGGCAATTGTTGACTTCATTTTCAAAAGCCAAAAATCCTTCATTTTTATTAGATATTTTTTTCTTTAATAGAGTGACAATGCCTTTCTCTTGCAAAAATATTAATTAATTAAAAAAAGAAAAGAAAAGAAAAGAAAAGAAAAGAAAGAAAGAAAAATTTAAAAAAATCATATCAATAAATCTTTTAACTAAAATGAATTTAATGTTTAAGCACCAAAGTTACTAACCTGCCCTAGGTCTTCCTGTAGTTGTGGTCAGAAGATTTTGGTTCATAGCCTACAAATTGAAATTGTAGTTTACATTCACATGTACGTAATGATGAAATTATTTGCCAATAACCTGCCACAAACTAGTGCTCTGAACCAGCTCTATGACTGTGAGGAACTTGACCAATAGAGCTAGTGGTACCCAGGCATCACTCCCCTTTATACAGTCACTCTCGCTACAGTGGACAACCTCGGGACCCTCACTTGTTGTCTGTAATACATGTAGCAAGCGTCCATAATAGCGAGAGATAATTACGGTCATGTCTTTGTCAGTATTTTTCGCCGGGGATTTTGTTCCTTAATATTGAGGTGTCCGTTATAATTATCGGGGGGTCCGCAAAGCAAAAGATGACTGTCGAGGGGAGTGGTACCTTCTGCAAGGTTGGTCCCTAATTTGCATCAAAATATTTGTGAATTGGATAACTATCTTTTGAGCAAATGGGGGATTAAGCCTAAACTAGTAAATGTGCACAATTAGAAATTTCCAAGCATTAGAATTTTGGAGAAAAAACATTTCAAAATGCTGTAACTGTACATATACCGTAGCACAGAAAGTTTGCTTCAATTTCCCCCATTGTTTTTCAGTATTA